TTCATGTACAAAGACTTGTCATTGCTGTTTGCAACAACACTCTGCAGCTTCTTCAAGGGGATCCCAAAGCTTTCCCTCCAGTGATTTCTGGGTCTGCCCTGTGGTCTCCCCTCATTGGGGCATGCCCAGAAGGGGAGTGGACAACAGGCGTCTCAGTCAAATGCTCAAACCACCTCAGCTGGTTCCTTTTAATATGTAAGCTCTACTCTAAGCCCCCCCCCAACCCGATGACAGCGCTCCTCCCCCTTTTTTCAGTCCAGAGTCCAGACAGCTAAAAGAGGAAGCTCATTTCAGCTGTCAGGATCTTGCCCCATCAAGGTCTGGTACAGAGCCAAGCTACATTTGAGGGCAGGGCCGTGGGCGTGCAGATTCTTGGCATCATAAACTGGCTTTTTGTACATGGAATGTATTTGACAGGCCTCTTTAAAAAGATCACTGATCGACTACTTTGGCAGCCAGTTGTCCGCAGGGGTGGATGTGTTATAGTTGTTTACTGCAATATTTGAAAGAGTCAGACGAGTTTGGAGACAAGCAAAGCTCCTGTAAAAGAGGAGTTTAATGAAATGCTGTTTGAAACTTATTCTGCCATCTGCAATGATTTAATAACCCACCCAGAATGGGGAGCTGGCACAGCTGGGGAGCAGGGGGATAATAATCCCAAACATAAACTTGAACATAAATCGAAGGATTGATCACACACAAAAAAAAAGCATGTAACTTGACGATAGTAAACTGTTCTACGCTTAAAAAGAACAGACTGAAAACAACTTAAGACAGATTCTGACAGAGTAAGGTAGAATATTTATACTTGTAGTTAAGCTGAAGTATGGAGGCACTTAAACTCAAAGTGAACAACGTGGGAAAGGAAAGCAGCTACAACAAATATTGGTAACTATTAGATAAGTGCTTTTTCCACTCCTATTTGAACTCCTTTTCAGTCTTTTCCCAACAAGAACACGTCAATAACCACCAATGTGCCGGGGTCACTTACCGGCTGCACACAAATGGCTCTGATATTATGAATCATCTCCACAGAAATAATTAACCACGGGACTGGAGTTAAGCTCCATGGAAACTTTAAGTCACCAGATCCACTTAAAAAAAACCAAACAGGACTTTCAGCTTGAACGAACATGGAGGAAGTCATATCAAGGGTGGCTCCCGCAGAGTTTTATTATTATCCAGTATTTTTAGGCACATTTATTTGATTTTTTTTTTTCATTTTAACGGTTTTGTAAACTTGTTTAAAACAAGATTGTTTTATTTCTGGCATTTACAATCCTGTAAAAAGACAGTAAAAATGTAAATGCCTCCCAGCCTAGCTTGCGGCCTGCTGCTAGCGCTGCATCTCCCACCATGTGGTACGACCTTTCTGCAGCCTGGGACAAATATACATGCCACTCACTGATATGGGCAAGACAAAAGCCGAACTCCTCTCTGAACTGCATGAAGAGATTTCAGCCATAATATAAAAGGAGAGAATATTTCCTCCATTAAATCCGACATACAAGCACTAAAAACTGAACTCTTCCAATATCACTACCATTCAACAGGGTTTCACCGGACTCAGAAGCACCATCTTCGTCTGATTGCACAATCAATCAATCTGCACATGACTACCGCCTCCTGTCTGTTGACCAATAGGAGAGGAGCTGATCCACGAAGGACCGCCCACTTTATTTACACAGTGAGGCAGAAATGCATAAGGTAAAGTAAAATCAGGAGACAGAAAAATGTAAAAAACACATGGAAATAAAAAGACTTGTGAAGGAAAACAATTACAAAAAACTAATTTAAGAGACACAAATGCATCTACAAGTAAAAGGATAAAACAAAAAAAATTAAACAGTAAAATTTAAATTAAATTATATAATTTGTTGGAACTAAGCTGGAAAAATAAATATGAAAGTTAATTATGAGGTAAAGTTCTCCTTTTTTAAATTATTGATGCATTTTAAGTGTATTTATTTATCCATCCATCCATCCATCCATCCATCCATCCATTTTCTTCCGCCTATCCGGGGTCGGGTCACGGGGGCAGCAGCTTCAGAAGGGAGGCCCAGACCTCCCTCTCCCCAGCCACTTCTTCCAGCTCCTCCGGGGGAACTCCAAGGCGTTCCCAGGCCAGCCGAGAGACATAGTCCCTCCAGCATGTCCTGGGTCTTCCTCGGGGCCTCCTCCCGGTGGGACGTGTCCGGAATACCTCACCAGGGAGGCGTCCAGGATGCATCCTTACCAGATGCCCGAGCCACCTCAACTGGCTCCTCTCGACGTGGAGGAGCAGCGGCTCTACTCTGAGTCCCTCCCGGATGACCGAGTTTCTCACCCTATCTCTAAGGGAGATTATTTATTTATTTATTTATTTATTTGTGAATTTATACATTTCTGCTTTTAATTTTAATTGTGGAAGTTTCGGCCTCCATAAATCTCATCAACAATTTAACTAATTCATTCAAATGTGCTCAGTGGAAGAGTGTAATTTGGACACATCAGCACCGTCTGTGCTACAACGCCTACCTCCTGTATGCTTCCCCAGAACATGTGATTTAATAAATCAAATGATGCGGCGTTGCGTGGCTGTCCTCTCTCTCTCTCTCGCTTTGCCTCCTACTTCAAAGCTTAAAAACAAACAAACGTTTCCTGGAGCTAGGTAAAAAACAAAATGATCCAGTTTTCTTGTGGGATTCTAAAGTTGCATGCTGGTCCTTAGCAAACCAAAGGTCACAACAATAAAAAGGAAAGTGAACTGAGCCTGGATGATGTGAGCAATGGAGCTGTGGATTTACCGCCTCTGTTTCAGTCTAGCCCAGAGGAGCCCAAAGTGGGGCCCACGGGCCAAATTTGGCCCGCCAAGCCATTTGATTTGGCCCACCAACAGTTGACACACTTACTAGGCTGTAACCTGTTGTCCTATGTAAAAACACAGTATTTCCACTTAGTCATTTCATCTATTGGCCCAATGACTATATAAGGGGCTGTAGTGCAGATAGTCTTCACTCATGATGCTGACTTTATCTAAGTAGCAAAGACTCATGGGACATTAATGTCCTGTGAGCCTTTGCTACTTGAACGTATGGCAGACTTTCTCCAACTGCGCAGACTAAAACAAAAGCAGGCCACTGCACTGGCTGCAGGTTTAATTGTTAAAAATAAAGGACTTTACTTAAAAAGTATTTGTGTTTCAAATATTATATCACTGCATTTGGCCCGCAGCCCCAGATAGATTTTCATTTTGGCCCTTTTGGGGAAAATGTTTGGGCACCCCTGGTCCAGCTTCAATTTTTCACTCGTGCCAAAACTCTGAGACGCGTCCTTCCCTTCCTTGTCTTTACACCTGCATGGGAAAGCGGCTCAGAAGTTGCGAGGAATGTTGCAAACTTAACTGATTTTACCCCCAAAATCTGAAACAAGCACTTGACGACTGACCACTCAGTAAATACAGTCAAATCTCATTTCTGTTGCAAGTGAGTCACTTGGGTTCAAACACTTAAGACCTCCTAAAGCCATGTGTGGCTGGCATCAGGAAACTAGCGCTCCCTACTGGTGCTAAATGTTCTGTGAAGTTGTGAAGGACACACTCCCTGCTCTCACTGACACATTTCCTGTGCTGAAGCTTGGCTAAAACACTTGTCCTGGAATCTGAACATCGATGCGCTCTCTCCTATGAAAAATGACCAGTTTACAGAACTCTACTACTATATGAATGAGTATCATTCTAGGAAATGCTAAAGTATCTTTAAACAGAGTGAATAAATAAATAAAAACTTTCAAATAAATGCTCACATTGTTTCCATGACACGAGGACAGCGCCACAAGCTTTGGCACTTTATGAGCGCATGAATCAAAGATGTTTGGCAGAGCAGCCAGACAGAGCACTAATGTGCAAACTCATTAAGTATAAAGGCTCTGCTGCGGCACAACATATGATTGATGAGAGGATGGAGCTGCAAAGGAGACTTCAGACACTTTTATTCTTCTGCTGCATGCTCGCCCTTATACCCACATTAACATGCTTAAAGTCCTTTTGTTTTTAAATCTGATTAAGAGATTGGATTGGGCCTCAGCGTTTGTGCGGAGGGAGGCAGACTGTTGGGAGAAAAAAAAGGAGAATTGTGCAGAGTTTAAATAGTTTATGATCTCAGACAGGCTTTCATGTGTGAAGATCATAAATGATATCATAAATGTACTTATAGGGTGTTTTATGCAGGCTTTCTGCAAACCCATCAATGCATAGCATCTTTTGCATGTGAAAATGTGTTTCCACTTAGTCCCACTAAGCTCACATAATAAAACTAAATGCATAGCTAAAAATAAAGACACTCACCTGTTACAAGACAAACAATGTATCCTAAAGCCTCAAAGTTTCAAGTTAGGTCATTATGTCACGGTTTGCACACTTTTGGCCCCTAAGAACCAGTTCAACCCAAAGAGGAGCGGGTTCATCACCGACCTGAGGTGCGGTGTAAAGCCGTGTGGAAACCAGCTCAGCGGTGGATGAAAGGAGTTGATAAAGAGCTCTAATTCCTTTCAGTACTTTGTGTCCTCTCGTTTCGCACCGGATCATTCACTAGTTATGGTTACTTAATATGACACTTTCTTTCTCAGCTCCTGCGTCAACGTGCCGGGTGCGTCTGCTCGACCAGCGGCTGTTCTTACCCACTGACCCCCAAAAACACGCCGTTTCCCTGCGGATTCTTCCGCGTTCGTTTCAACACAAGCCTCACTACTTCGTTGAATAGTTTTTTTAAATGACCAGGAGCGAGGTTTTGCACACAAAAAAACTTTTATTTAAGCTGTTTGTTAAAAAAAAAGTCAAGAAGACAGCTGCAGGTTTCTCTGCGCAAAACCACTGTCGCTTCTTATTAAAGTGATCAATAACAGTTCTTGTTACTGGAGCTCAGCAGGAACGCGCACAGTCGCATCTACTGAGCTGCTTTCCCTCCCCCCTAAAAAAAACAAACACAAATATTTGTAATCATAATAAAATAGAAAGCACTTACTTTTGACTTCTTCATATGGAATGACAGGAGTAAATCCAGTGTGCGCGAAAGCCTATTTTATTTTACTTCTGCGGAGAGGAAATGGGTTCTCGTCATCCTGCAAGCACATATCTAATGCCTAAACCAGCGGTATCCAAGCAGAGGAGAAAAACAGTCCTGACGTGGGGGGGACGAAGTGTGACAAAAAAAAAAATGTGTGTGAAAAATAATATCAACGTCTGCAACCTCCAGGCTGAGAGACGCGCACAGCCCGTGTGCAGTCCGCGGCATACATCCAGACTCTGAGCGCTGCAGGAACAGGAAGGGAGTTAAAGCTTTGAAATGGTGCGTAAAAACGCGGAGTGAAAGAGCCGCCCTCATGACAAGCCCTCCTCAGCTGCCAACGCAAACTGATCGCCGGTTGTTCAACTCCGTTCATCATCGGAGACATGTTTTTTTTTTCAGGTTGTCCATCAATGGATAAAAGCTCAAGGGTTCAGATTACTACGAAAACATTATTCATTGTAACACGATGAAGGAAAAAAAAAAGGATTTTATAACAGAAACCTGCATGCCAGATGAATATGACTCAGCATCTGAGTGAGTCAAAGTGTGTGTCACCAGATTCATAAATACTTTCACAAATAAACATCAGAGACATCCAAACATTCATTTATTTATTTATTTATTTATTTATTTATTTATTTATTTATTTATTTATTTATTTATTTATATTATATTATATTATATTATATTTGACTGAGTTTGGACAGTAATTAATAGCTTTTAATCGAAAGTTTTTCTGCAACAAACTGAACATAAATAGCTTTAAAGTGTTTTAGACAGATTACTTTTACAAGTGAATTCAAGTCACGTTTTTTATGTTAGAGTTTACTTGATCTTTTATGTATTTTTACATTAATTTTTGACAGAAAAAAAATCATAAACTATCCAAAGCGTTGAATACTTTTCTCTGCGAATGATTTTAACCATAGTTCACCTTGCCTTTGGCGGCGTTGTTACAACAATAAACAATATGTGACTCAAAAAACAAACAGATGTAGTGGATTTAATTCAAAATATATGTCAGCTGTTTCCACTCAGCTGAATTGAATAAAGGTAACACATTTACTTTACGTTTACATTTACTTTAAGTCAGTGTAAATTAAATGTGTTACCTTTACTCAGTTCAGCTGAACAGAAACAGCTAACATGTTTTTTAATTAAAATGTTGACACAACATACAACCCCAATTCCAACTAGACATGGGTTTTTACGATGTGAAAACAAGTGTGCATTGCCAAGTAGCATGTCACTGCAGCATGACTTTGCCTGCAGCATTGGACTTGCAGAAGGAACTTTGACCAGGATCAAATATGTTTTCTAAACCACTGTCACGTCAGCAGGTGTTTTTAATTAAGGTAATTGTGTGACAAAATGAAGTTTGAAGAGATTTTTAGTTAAAGTTGCATTAGCTGGGTTTTGAACCCTGATCTCCCACATGAAACTCCATGACATAGACCATTAGACTGATGGAGCTTTGGCAGAGTGTGGTGCCAGGGGTTGGTTTGTATGTGTGCAGAAAGAGGCCACATTGCCAATACAATTATTGACACAAAATGCATAATATGACAACAATAGAGCAGTATTAAGACAATATTATAGTAAAACATCAAAATACAATCATATTAGTATTGTAAACACTGAACTATTGAGATTAAATATAAAAACACTAGGCTGCACTACCAAGTTGAGTACAGCTGGGGGCAGTATTGGACCATGACAAGGCCCCATTGACTCTCATTATATGAATTTGGAATAAAGTTTAAACATTAATATTTCAAAAACTACAAGTTGTACAGGTACCAAAAGGCAAAGCAATCATTTGGCACATGACCTTTACAGATAGAAATTACAATGGTAGCTGTAGGACAAAGTATGCAGGAGCACTGGACTTTCAGAATGAACTTTGACCAAGTTCAAATGTGTTTTCTTGTGCCTGTCACATCAGCAGGTGTTTGTAATTAAGGTAATTGTGTGACAATATGAAGTTTGAAGAGATTTTTAGTTAAAGTTGCATTAGCTGGTTTTGAACCCTGATCTCCCTCATGAAAGCCCACAGTGCTCATCATGAGACTATATGAGACGTGGCAGAGGACAATCCCAGGGATTGGATTGTATGTATACAGAAAAAGTTTACCTTGCCAATGCCATTATTGAAACTTAAGTGCAATATATTACAGCAATAGGACATCATAAAGACAGTATTACAGTAAAACATTAAAATACAATCATATTAATATTGTAATCACTGAAGTACTGAGTTTAAATATTGTAAAACTATGGTGCAGTACCATATTGTGTAGATGCAGCAGGGGGCAGTATTGGACCAATATGAGGCTCCATTGACTGCCATTATAATTTATTAAACATTAATATTTCAAAAACTATAAGTTTTACAGGCACCAAAAGGCATAGCCATCATTTGGCACAGGGGCTTTACAGATATAAATTACAATGGCAGCTCTAGGACAAAGTATGCAGGAGGAGAAGCATGGCAAAGTTGAGATGACTTGGATGGGAAACGAATCACAATAGTGTGCATTGCATTGGCAATGCACACTATTGTGCATTGTACATTGACATTTTTCAACATATATTCAATTGAAAACATTTGTAGTGTATTCAAATTGAACATAGGTTGAAAAGTATGTATAATAATATATTAACTTTGTTTTTTTTTGCAAATATTCACTCATTTTGAATTTGATGCTGCAACAAGCTCCAAATATGTTGGAACAGGGTCGACAAAAGTTGAGGAATGTGCAAAAAAACACCTGTTTGGATCATTGTACAGGTGAACAGGTTCACTGGAAACAGGTGAGTGTCATGATTGGGTATAAAGGGAGCATCCCCGAAAGACTCAGTTGTTCATGAGGAAGGATGGGGCGAGGTTCAGCACTTTGTGAACAACTGTGTGCGCAAATAATCCAACAGTTTGACTATTACTCAAGATACATTGCAAGGAATTTAGGGATTTCATCATCTATAGTCCATAACATCAGCAGATAGTTTATCAAATATTTACTCAAACATGTGCAACATCCCTTAAAATCATCTCTACTTTTATTATCTCATGAGACCCTTTTCACCAAACCATACTGCTTATTTTTTGTTTCTATTTTATTTTATGCTGTTTATTTGTCCATCAGTGTATTTATTTTGTTTTTCTTCAGAGTGTTTTTACTTTTATTTTATTCTAGGGTGATTAACTTTTATTCTTCGATAAAATTATTTGAATGGTTGCAGCTGTAATAAATATAATTTCCCTCAGGGATCAAGAAAGTATTTTGATTCTGAAACGATTTTTAAAAATTGGGCAAATAAGGCTGAAAACCAACAGTGAATGCTTGTGACCTTTGACCTCTCAGGCAGCGCTGCTTTAAAAACCCACATTGTTCTGTAACAGATATTATTACATTGGCTCAGGAAGACTTCAGAAAACCATTGTCAGAAAACACAGTTCATTATTTTACTACAGTGGTTTGCAAAAGTATTCATACCCCTTGAACTTTTCCATATTTTGTCACATTACAACCACAAACATAAATATATTTCACTGGAATTTAATGTGAAAGACCAACACAAAGTGGTATACAATTGTGAAGTGGAAGCAAAATTTTACATGAATCAAAACATTTTTTACAAATAAAAAACTGAAAAGTGCGACGTGCAAAAGTATTCAGCCCCCCTGAGTCAATACTTTGTGGAGCCACCTTTTGCTGCAATTACAGCTGCAAGTCTTTTAGGGTATGTCTCCACCAGCTTTGCACATCTAGTGACTGCAATTCTTGCCCATTCCTCCTTGCAAAACAGCTCAAGCTCAGTCAGATTGGATGGAGAGCGTTTGTGAACAGCAGTTTTGAGATCATGCCACAAATTCTCAATTGGGTTTAGGTCTGGACTTTGACTGGGCCATTCTAACACATGAATATTCTTTTTTTTAAACCACTCCATTGTAGCTTTGGCTTTATGTTTAGGGTCGTTGTCCTGCTGGAAGGTGAACCTCCGCCCCAGTCTCAAATCTTTTGCTGACTCCAACAGGTTTTCTTCCAAGATTGCCCTGTATTTGGCTCCATCCATCTTCCCATCAACTTTGACCAACTTCCCGGTCCCTGCTGAAGAGAAGCACCCCCAGAGCATGATGCTGCCACCACCATATTTGACAGTGGGGATGGTGTTTTCAGAGTGATGTGCAGTGTTCTTTCTCCGCCACACATAGCGTTTTGCATTGTGGCCAAAAAGTTCAATTTTGGTCTCGTCTGACCAAAGCACCTTCTTCCACATGTTTGCTGTGTCCTCAACATGGCTTCTGGCAAACTGCAAACGGGACTTCTTATGGTTTTCTTTTAACCATGGCTTTCTCCTTGCCACTCTTCCATAAAGACCACATTTGTGTAGTGCACGACTAATTGTTGTCCTGTGGACAGTTTCCCCCACCTGAGCTGTGGCTCTCTGCATTTCATCCAGAGTCACCATGGGCCTCTTGGCTGCCTCTCTGATCAGTGATCTCCTTGTTCGGCCTGTAAGTTTAGGTGGACGGCCTTGTCTTGGCAGGTTTACTGTGGTGCCATACTCTTTCCATTTCCGGATGATGGATTGAACAGTGCTCCGTGAGATGTTCAAAGCTTGGGAAATCTTTTTATAACCTAAGCCTGCTTTAAACTTCTCCAAAACCATATTCCTAACCTGTCTGGTGTGTTCTTTGGACTTCATGATGCTGTTTGCTCCCCAATATTCTCTTAACCAACATCTGAGGCCGTCACGGAGCAGCTGTATTTGTACTGAGATTAGATTACACACAGGTGGACCCTTTTGAGTCATTAGCAGTCATCAGGCAACATCTGAATGCAATTGGTTGCACTCAGGGAAAAGGGGGCTGAATACTTTTGCACGTCRCACTTTTCAGTTTTTTATTTGTAAAAAATGTTTTGATTCATGTAAAATTTTGCTTCCACTTCACAATTGTATACCACTTTGTGTTGGTCTTTCACATTAAATTCCAGTGAAATATATTTATGTTTGTGGTTGTAATGTGACAAAATATGGAAAAGTTCAAGGGGTATGAATACTTTTGCAAACCACTGTAATTCCTGATATATTTTTTCTGTGCGAAGTCCTTGACAGTCGCTCAGAACTCGCTTCCACCTGGAACCTCCTCACCAAGCTGCTCACCTTCACTCCACTCACCTGTGCCTCCTCATCCTTTGGTCCCTGGGTCCCACTTACCTGTTCCAACTTGCTCTTGGATCCCTCGTACCTGGAAGAGTAAAAATATCTACAAGTCCAAGCCCACCATTTTTTCAGAACCTGTAAGACCACAAACCGTATTCACACACTATACATCATTTCCCTGCTGGAACAGCAACTCAC